AAGCTTGGCTTCCTCCATCACTGGGGCAACCAAGCCTTCTGCTTGCTCCAGCTCCGTGGCTGCCGGCCGCCATCTTGGTTGGGTTAATTTGCATATAGTCACTCTGATTGGCTGATGGGCGTGGCTTAAGGCATAGCGAAGGTATGGTCAATTTGCATGTTTGTCTTTTATTAGTGTAGATGGTATTAGACACCAAGATCTGGGTACTAGGTGTGTTCATTGTTATAGGAGTGTCATTTCTTTTTTTTTCTTTTTTTTAAAATATATTTTATTGATTTTTTACAGAAAGGAGGAGAGAGGGATAGAGAGTTAGAAACATTGATGAGAGAGACACATTGATCAGCTGCTTCCAGCACACCTCCTACTGGGGATGTGCCCGCAACCAAGGTACATGCCCTTGACCGGAATCGAACTTGGGACCTTTCAGTCCGCAGTCTGACGCTCTATCCACTGAGCCAAACCGGTTAGGGTGAGTGTCATTTCTTTTAGGCCCTGTCAGCTGATAGGGCAAAATACATATGTTTATACATATATTTATAAATATTTCTATATATAACCATCCATATCAATTTGTAGCCTCTTGCCCTTATCTGTAAATTTCCACTCCAATAGTGAGATACCTGGCTCCTACCATGCACCATTCATTTACTTAATTGATCCATTTCAGTATACATGACAGCAGAATCAATTGTTAATCCATACACCAACTTTATCAACTAGAGTTTAATGCTTGTATGTGGTTCCTTCTGCTTTTAGTCTTACAGCCTTCAGTCATCTCCAAATACTTAGGTCATCAGCACTTTTTTCTCCCACCCCCTTCATTGAGGTGGTTTCATGCATTTGTAAAATTGTTAGATTCTCTTGTCATAATCTGTATTCCTTCCTGGGATCTCCCAACATCCTAGATAATTTTTTTTGTTTTGACAAATTGCATACATTAAGCTTCACTCTTTGTGCTGGAAAGTTCTATGAGTTTTGACAAATGCTTAATGTTTTGAATCCACCATTACAGTATCATACAGATAATTTTACTGTCCTAAGAATCCTGTGTGCTTTACCTATTCAGCCCTTCCCCTGACCTCCAAACCTCTGGTCACCACTGATCATTTTGTTATCTCTGTAATTTTACCTTTTCCAGAACATCATAGAATTGGAATCATACAATCCATAAACATAGAATATTTTCCATTTATGTAAATCTTCTTTGAATTATTTCATTATAGTTAGTTTTCTGCATATGGATCCTGAACATATTTTGTTAGATTTATATCTAAGTATTTCACTTTTTGGTGCTATTGTACATGGCATTGTATTTTTAATTTCAAATTCCAATTGTTCATTGCCTTATCACTGCAACTTTGCTATAATCATTAGCTTCAGGAATTTTGGGGGGTTCTTTTTTTATTTTATTCTTTGAAATTAACAAGCATATGATCTGCAAACAAACACAGCTTTATTTCTCCCTCCCCAATCTGTATATGTTTTACTTCCTCTTCTTGTCTTAATGCACTAGCTAGGACTTCCAGTACAATGTTGAATAGGAGTGATGAGAGGGGACATCCTTGCCTTATTCCTAAATTATTTTAAAACAAGTCCCAGATGTCATATTTTAATCTGTAAATATTTTGACATTTGTTGCATAAATATAAGAACTCTTAAAAACCATAAGCATAGTACGGTAATATTAAAATGATCATATCTAAAAAATCAATATGTTCCTTAATATCACCACATATAGAGTAGGATATTTTTAAACCTTTACTCTCATTACTTAACACTCACAACCCATCATGTTACACACTATGTCATAAACAAGGCTTTCTGTACACTTACAATGATTTCTCCTTCCTCCACTGTGTGGAGCTTGACGTAGCCCCCCACTAAAGCCTCCTTCGGGATATCACCATACTTGGTTTTGATCATGGGACAATTCAGCAGTTGAGGTTTCTGGGATCTGAAATTAGACAACTTGTTAAAAAGAACTCCTTTGTAACACAGCCAGTTCATGAGGCCATGGATAAACAGCTCCACCTCTATTGCACATGGAATCTTCCCTCCCCTCTCCCAGAAGTAAGAAAACTCCAAATCAAACCCTGGGAGAGACTGAGTCAGGAATTGGAGAAGTTTGATAGGGAGGGAGACTTGGAAGAGAAGACAGGACCCCTTTAACCACCCGAAAGCTGTTTGTTATGTGCAAGAAGGGGCTGATGACCTCATGCAGCTGAGCCAGGCCTGCTGGGTGAGAGGTCCACACTGGTTGAGGTATGCTCAACATGAGGAAGGAATTTCTAAGTCAGAGCTGCCTGAAAATGGCCCAGACTGTTTGATGAAGAGTAAGCTCTGTGCCTTTAGGGACATGACAGGAAGGCAGAGAAGAGGTGGCTTTGTTTGTGTGTGTGTGTGTTTGTTTGCTTGTTTACAAAGACAGGTTTTCCTGGGTAGCCTGGAGACTCTGTACTTTGTTCATGTTGGGGTTAATTTTACCCAGGCAATCCTGTTGTGCCTTCTTTGGTCTCAGGCTAGGTAGAAGGAAGAGACAGGCTATGCTTTTTGGATTAGAGGCAGGAAAAAGAGTATTTATCAGCTGAAAATATGGCTGAACTCACCTACACATAAATAAGGCAGGCTTCTATTTTCACACAAACCCCAGGATTGGTAGATGAGTGGCACATGTCCAGCCTGTCCCTTTTCCCTTATTGATTTATAGCAGAGAAACTGGGCCTGTTCTATCTCTACCTTCAGAAGAACTGGGATTGGTATTTCAAGCACGGGATCCCTTAGAAAGAGTATCCATCCGAGGAAAAAACTCAGAAGCCATGGGATGCTCATATGGAGGTGAGCAGGCTGGGAGAGTTGACAGGCAAAAGACTAGAGGAAAGTGGCACTACGGCAATATGGAGACTGTGATACTGATGTCATTATCAGTACCACTGCGACAGTTTTTTTCTTTATTTTTTTATTCTCTGAAGGGAAGAGAAGGGGGGGGGAGGGGAGAGGAGGGTGCTGGCATGCCCTGGGGGGAGAGCACACGCTCACTGCAACATGTTTGTTCCATCTTTAATGGGGGTGGGAGGAAGCTGTTATGTTTCTAGGGCCTGGCGTTGAGCTGCCTGTAGGCCAGTGCCCACCAAGTGTCCTTTCCCACTCCTCAGCCCCTCTGGGCTAAGGCAAAAGTGCAGCCCTTATTGTGCACCCACCTTGTTCCCATGGTGACAATTGTACCAGACAACAAGACCGAGCGCTAACAAGCGACTTGGGCTTGAATCCTGGCTCTGCCACTTCCTACATGTGTGACCTCGAACAAGTAACTGAGTCTCTTTCTGTACCTTGTGTGTTCTCACCTGAAAGATGGGAGTGATAATAGCAGTACTTAGACTTACCTGATAGGATTTTTGTGAGAATTAAATTAAATAAGCCAGTACCTGACAGAGTATTCCATTAGTGTTAGATATAGTTATCATTATCTCATTTAATTGTTGGCTTGCAACAACCCCAGGACTTAGACACTATTATATATAGACAAGGAAACTAAGGCTTACAGAGGTCCAGTTCCTTGCCTGGGGACGCAGAGCTAAAATAAGTGGCCAAGCCAGGATGTGAACCTGGGTTGAACTGACTACTAAGCCCAGGTTCTTATACTGTCTTCCTTGGATGGTTACAATTTTTTGAAGAGGCTCAAGACCCAGTGACACACAGAGTGAGTGACAGCTATAAGATCTGTCCTGCCCCTTCTTCTTCAAATGGTTCCCTGAAAAAGGAAGAAACCGACCACCTAAAGTGGCCCCTTGAGAGTTAAAGGCAGAGAATGCAGCTCCTGGACATCAAACCCAGCACCTCTCAGGCTGCCTTCTCCATACCCCCAACCTTTGGGGTAGAGCTATGACTGCTACCTCCGCCCCCTCCCCAGCATCCCTCATATTCTGCCCAGTAAGTTATATCATCCTTTCAACCAGAATCTGGACCCTCCTATCTGCCAAGAGCTAAGCTTACTTGATCTTTGGGCCAAAGGTCTTTGGGAGACTATCTTCTAGGGTATTAATCTTCTTACTGAAGGTGGTCCCCTGTTGTTCCAAGGCTTTCTGGAAATGCAGAAGTTTCAGAGCGCTAAAATCCTGTACAGGATATGATTTAATCTGGAAATCCTTAAATCTCTTCACAGGAGAAGCTTCTGTTAGAGAAAGCACAGGGAAACATATTAGTGGGCCTTTGCACATATGAGGGTTGTTGTGGGCAGTTGGAGATATATCACAGACTGCCTGGCTAGTCTGGTGTATGGGGAAAATTTAAAAAAAAAATAGAGAGGTCAGAGAAAGATAAATATCACATGATCTCACTCATTTATGGAATATAATGAACAACATAAACTGATGAACAAAAACAGATCCAGAGACAGAGAAGCATCGATCAGACCGTCAAACCTCAGAGGGAAGGTAGGGGAGGGTGGGGATAAGGGGGGGAGATCAACCAAAGGACTTGTATGCATGCATATGAGCATAACCAATGGACACAGACAACAGGGATTAGGGCATGAGTGGGGGTGATGGAGGGTAATGTGGGGATAAGGATACATATGTAATAACTTAATCAATAAATTAAAAAAATAATAAAAATAAATAGAGAGGGGTTAAAAACACACCATGGTGTCCATGTATTGTCCCTCCATGTTAGGCCCTGAACTACTAGAGCCTTTATACCACTGCAACCAGACAAGTGTCACTGGCCTCATTTAAGAAAGAAAATGAGCAGCAGAGAGGTTAAGTCACCCAAGAAAAGGCTGAAGCTGTTTGAACTCAGGTCTATCTAATTCAAAGCTCATGTCTTTTGGCAAAGCACATTTATCTGAGCTTTCAAACTGGGATTGGGGATAGGGGCAGCAACAAAAGATAAATGGAGGATCAGCCATGGAACCTTGAACAAGTCACATAATCTCTTGAAACCCTCATAGGATAATTGTAAAAATTACAGCTAAGAGTATGTGCTATGTACCTAGCACAGTGCCCAGCACATAATAGGCCCTCCATGAGAGTTTTTAACAAGCTCTCCAAGAGAAAACTAATCAGGAGTAAAGCAACTAACTCAAAAACTGTAAGAGCTAATAAATGATTTCAGCAAAAGAGCAGGATACAAAGTCTACACAAAAATCAGTTGCATTTCTATACACTAAACCAGGGGTCCTCAAACTACGGCCCGCGGGCCATATGCAAATACAAATATTGTATTTGTTCCCATTTTGTTTTTTTACTTCAAAATAAGATATGTGCAGTGTGCATAGGAATTTGTTCATAGTTTTTTTTAAAACTATAGTCCGGCCCTCCAACGGTCTGAGGGACAGTGAACTGGCCCCCTGTTTAAAAAGTTTGAGGACCCCTG